CAATGGAAATACGTCTTGGACCTTACTTTCAGTAACGAATATATCCACTTGAAGCCCATCATGCCAATCGCAGCCGTACAGCAAGCAGTACCCATAGCAACTAGCTTTGTCTCTTAGACGACCATTGAAAGGGGATTTGTAATACCCTATTTTGGGATGACTCGGATGCCTTTTGGGCGTCAGTTGGGCGTCCGCGATAGCTGCCTCCCGGATGTGACTGTCTGTTTGTGAATTCTGAAAGAAAATATCTTCGGGAAGATCTTTACTTCCTACTGTAACAAACTTTATGTAATCTGTCAGTGTCAGTTCTACATCCACGTCTTGATCCCAGGGGATAAATCCTTTGTGTCTTGCTGCGCCTATTAATGTACCCGCGCTGATCCAATAACGTATATTGTGTTTCGTGGCAATCAGATGGAATATCCGTAACATTCTAACCATCACAAGCTGGGATTGCCTCATTCTTCCTTTCGCCTTGTGTCGAATGTCCGGACAATCGAGGACAGTGCCACTGAGGTCACACTTCCCTCCCAAGTCAGTGTAAAGAGTCGGGCACATCTCACCGAATTTCAGTTTGGTATCACAGTTCTGTCTCACTAAGTATCTGTTTATTGGATCATGTCTCCGTGTATTTGACCAAAACATGAGCAAATACAAGACAAGCCATACTACAATCAAGGTTAAAATTTTACAAAGTAAGGGCGCTCTCTTTTGAACCATTCTGACAAGTGTATTTTATAGCTGTGCGGCCGTAAAGGCTATAAATTTGGTTCAAGTGGAATAAAAATTACAACCTTATACTAATTAATGTAAAATTTATGTCAATAATAGCACAGCTGATTGTCTTTTGAAAGGAACTGCGCGAGGGCATAACGTTTTGGGAAACAATAGACCTTACGACATGAAATTTTGGCGACACCTTAATTTAACGATTTTGAAAAACCGTTATTTAGTGGCACTTTAATTTTGCGATTTTTCGTAAATTGTGGAATGTAAGTCACTTAATTTCGCGATTTCAGGAACTGAAAATTTAACGATGTAATGAAAAATAATCATAAAAGTCAATAGCTTCATTTAAAAATCATACAACGTTCTGATAATGTTGAACGAAGCAAACGAAACTGCCACTGTAATCGTGATATCTTAATGCTGCCCTTGCTCATATTTAACGTACTTTGTCACAGAAAAGTCAATGATACCAGTCATAATCGACCGTGTTATAATATGCACGTCAAACTCACTAGATGGCGGAATATCATAGTCAGTACACACTTTAATTTAGCGACCATTTAAATTTAGCGTCACTTAATTTTGGTGCATTTTGATTTAACGATTTTAATTCGCTAAATTAAAGTGTCGCCAAAATTAAGTGTAATAAGGTAATTTCCGTAAAACTGCTGTTCTGAAAAAGATATCAATTGTAAACTAAAGCTACAAAGCAAAGGATTTTCGTAAAAGATTTGGGGGGCGTACCTGTGCTTTAGATTTTCCATATATTTGTCTGTAATTTTTCCCGGGACTTTCTTACAGACAAATGTATAGAAAATGTAAAAAAAGTGGTTCTATTGTAGGTCTTCCGGCGCGTGTAACGCCCTCAACTTTTTTCATTAGAATCCTTACGAGTGAAGCTTTAGTTTACAATTCATATCTTTTTTCAGAACAGCCGTTCTACGGAAATCATTCGACATTAGATTCTCACACAAACACTGTAATTTTTAGCCCGTTCGCCTACTCGTCAAAATGGCGTCGGAAACCGTGACAAGGTCTATTAAAAATTTACAAAGAAATTACACACTTTCGTGGAACAAGTCATGCTTTCTGGAGCACATTACCATTACCCAACAGCTGAAATAATGTTTGTGATAATCGTTTGCAAAGGGATTAAGAGCGAATGCACAGAAAAATCGAGCAAACCCTGGCCACAGCTCAAAACCTAACCTACCCTCATTTTAAGTCTGTAATAAGGTTTTAATGAATTTATAACACTGCTGAGGTTTAATTTTCAAAATGCGTCCGAGTTTGGGAATTATTTGAGATTTTCGATTTCAACGGTCTGCGGGCCTAAAATTAGCCGCCGAACAAGGCAAAATAGCCTAGCGACAGAAATGAGCTGAATTTCATAAACGAGCGAATATATTGCCAATCTTCCACTTAAATCTCAAAAAGCAGATATCTAACAATTTCTGAATGGCTTCTTTTTAGATTTAGAGTATAAAATATCGACGAACCAGCAGAATTTTGAAACGTAATTTGCATAATGCTTATAAATACAACAATTTACCGCTAAAACCAAAATCGAATTTTCTATATGGGGGAATTCTCCAAATCACCCCAAATCCCGCTTACTACCTAATGAGATATAGTACTTCAACATTATCTGAAAGTTAGTCTGGTGTTCTTGCGAACGCTTGTGAAATAGATTGATTATTTTGAAGTTATTTTGCCCCAAACAACTGCTAATTGACCCCAGGGTCAATTGACACGTGCACGTCACCTTAGTTTTACGCATCGATTTGAGCTCGTTAAAAGGGAGAAACTAACAAGATTCTTTTAATATGTACCTGTTTTAATGAAATACACGCAATCTTCAAAAGGAGAGGCCGTTCAATGGGTAATTTCTGTTCTTGAGATCTTGTAGATTGTACCATGGCGTCTGCGAGTGGACCTGAGTCTAGGTCTGTTTTCCCGTGACTGCGAAATCAGAATAACATCATGAAATAATTTTCTCTCGAACCTTCGTAAATGAATCAGCTTTGCAGTGCCTTACCTGAGATAAAAAGTGGGCAGAATAGGAAAACATTCTAGCGCAATTTGGATCCTTTGCAGCACGTAGTGTATTTGCTAAGCGGCGATGGTATTAATGACTTTTTAAAAGTCAGGTGAGTAACTAATTAAAATTAGTTACTCACCTCCGATTGCGTGACCTGGCAATTATAGATTGTCTCCAGCGAAAAATAAGTGCATGTGAAACCAAAGCTTTCGGGATACAGTAAATTCATTTTCCTGTATGACCAGGTGTCCTTTTGTCCTATTTTAAAAGCGGTTAACTAAGATGATTAGCAAACATACTGTCCCACTTTTAAAAATGGTACAGTAACTGAATGTTCTGTTCTTCTGATTTTACCCCTAACCCCGGAGTGTTCAGAAGATATATTTGCACTACGCATGAAAGGCAAATGGATTAAATTTTAAGGTTCAAGGCGGTTTTAAGGCATGGGTTACCAGTGGATTAGTCAGACTTGTCATAAGGTGCATTGAACAGAAAATTACAGGCATGATATCTCTGCTATTGTGTGTCCATTAAGTGATTTTCCATCAAACATTATTTTTTTACTTTTTTACCGCAAAAGTTTTTTTCGTTCAATTCTTATCTATGAGATGTAAACTTAGTTAAATTTCTGTAATTTGTTGTTAAATGCAAATCTGCAAACAACTAAGTATTTAATTTTGCGTAAAAGCTACATGAAATTGTACTGTTTAGCCGTAAATCATTATAAAGAGAAAGCATCATGCTTTCTCTTTTCAAGTCTAGTAGGACTTAAGCAATGGCATTGCTTAAGTCCTAGTAGTTCTTCTCCATGTCTGCTAAGGGGGAAATAGTTTGCTCTTTTCAAGAAATTGTTCTTGCCCATTGCGGTTTCAAACCAAGGAGAGCAGCAAGTCTGTCGTGGTCATATACTGCTACTTCAGTGCAAACGAAGCATAGGCGCACAAGTCAGCGCTTGCGTTTAGTCAGGTGCCGAAAATGAAGTGGAAACTTAACCCTAAGGGCGTCCATGTTCGCTCCGGCTCGAAAAGGTAGAATCAGTTGTGCAGTAAAAAGTAATGCGAAAAACCTGCGGAGGGCTGGGGAAAGAAAGGCGTCTTATTTTTCTTTGGCTTGTTCTATTTTCGCGACGTGCTACAGGTTACGAAATGCTGACAAGCTCAATATATGTCTTCACCACCGAGAGTCACTTGCCCTTAGCCAGACACGCCCCTCACGTATCATGTTTCGTTCTTAAAGTTATTTCAAAGCACAGAACCAAACCTAATCAGCGGCCGAAGGCAGAAAAGGGGATGAGCAAACGGATGTCACAGCATATTTTGCAAGAAACCGGTATCCTTGTGCCTATCGGCTCAGGAACGATTGATTACTACTAGAATAAATACCAGGGTCAGAATTTGAGTGCTACAATGGGAGGGAAGGAAGAAAAGAAAACCGCCGCGGGCACCTGTTAAGTCTTTTATAAACTTTCTCGTCCTGACGGTCTCAAAGAAAGGCGTTGTGGCTGCTATTTAATTTACAGTGTCTGTTGCAGGAGAACAGAGGGGCATTCTGTCTGCGCATGTGCAGTACAAAGAGACTTTTATAAGTAGCCGCTGAAACGCGCCCGCACGTGGCGCGCGCGCGTCCGCTTCCCGCTCTTTTTGAGCAAAACCAAAACAAAAAATATTAAATGCAAAATGGCCGTGTACGCAGGTCGGTTTGTTGTCTTTTTAGCGTGTGTCTTGTTCTGTATTTTAAACGAAAGTGAAAGCAAAGAAAGGTCGAAGAATGGTTGTGTTGTGTGTGGCAAGAAGTCACAAGGAAGCCCTTTCAGACAGGTTGAGAAAAACGAGGAGTTGGAAGTTTGTTTTGGAGTGAGAGCGTCGGGCGATATCTGTGAAGCCTGCAGAAGAGCCCTTCAAGACCACAGAAACACGGGAAAGACGTATCATCACGTTAGTGTTTTTCTCATGTAACTTATACGCTTATTTATTTTCAAATTTTCTCGGAGATATGAAGGTCTATTCCGCTGAACATGTTTTGAAATATATTACTAGGAAACAGTTTGTAAACCAGCGCTAAGAAATAATAATTGCAACAGTTTTGTAGCTGATTGTAAGCTTAATTAAAAACCGCTTTATCCACAAATGTTGCATTTGTCTCTTTAAAAAATCGTCAAAACCTCCATGAGCTGATTTACTGCATCCTTCTAAAATTTACTGTTGTTTGTTTGTTTAAAAAGTATGTTCAC